ATCACCCAATTTGATTGGTTAATTTATGTAGATCACCCAAATAAGGAAATTGAAAAATGGGTCGGTAAAATTGGTCTAAAATATCTTGTAAATTTTAAATGACCATAGCGAACGCTGATTGGTTGGATTATGTAGATCATCACATGGTCAGAGTAGAATCTACACATGACCGTAACTTTTTTTCGGCCCGGCTAGGGTACTATGATTTTTTGGACGGGTCCAATCTCTATTTTATAAATAGCAATAGCGATAGGCTTTGCAAAGCCAATTTATTGGGTTAGATTGGGCCAGGTTTTAGAGTTAAGCCCGGCCGGCCCATACTCTAAATTTTTTGTTGTGCTAGATTTGGGCCGGGCTCGGGTCTAGCCCGACCTGGCCCATTCCAAACCCTATGAGTGCTGCAGAGCGAAAAGCTGGAAGTGAATATTTAAGTTTTCACTATGGCGAGTTTAATTCTGCGTACGATCAGTTTCGATAGTATGTATCTAGAAATGCTCATCGACTCTATTAATTAATCGATTTTTATTACAAGAACACTGATTATCAATAGGGGCTAAACTCGCCATAGTGAAAACTTAAATATTCACTCCAGCTTTTCGCTCTGCAGCACTCATATACTATTAGAATTTAAAAATATTTTTTGTTTTTTTATTAGTATTATAAAAAATATTTTTTTAATAACAAATAATACAGATTTTGTAAAATTTAAATACAAATTTTATAGATTTTTAATTAAATCTAATCATTTATTTTTTTTTTAAATATAGTATCAAGATATAAAATATTGTTAACTATTTAATCTAATTAAAATGTAAAATTTTTTGCTTAAATTCATTCCCGTGTAACAATGATTATGTGTTCGAGGGTGTCTTAAGTAAAATTCAATATGATATACTTTGCGAATAAATTTACTACCAATGGATAACTTTTGCTATGCCGTAACATTAGATGCAAAATAACCTTTATTAATGACATCATTATTGTGTAAATGATTACTTTTGGTAATAATTATATATACTTTTTTTTTTCTATTCGATGACATATTCTAAAGTGTAGTTAAATATTTGAGTCGTAAATTATGATATAATTCATCTTCGGTCATTTATATTTTTAAAAAATAAACCATCTAAAATAAAAATTCACGTCTTGGAAATGACAATTAACCAAATACGCAACACATGCGATCTCGATGAGGAGGTCTATGCCGTGGAAAAGATACTTTCGCATAGGACTCGGAATGTAATAGGGAACCGTTAATAGATTGTTTAGATAGATAGCATCGTTATAACCATTAAAAATTCAAAGTTATTATGAACATATTTTTTTTACTATAGGGATCCATACAATATTTGATAAAATGGGAAGGCTTTGGTTCAGAGGACAACTCATGGGAGGATGAAAGAAACGTGTATGTTTACGTGTCGTCAAAATTAATTAAATTTTCAATGACAATTTTAACGACTAATTCAGGAAATTATTAGTTATGCACCAACCCTAATCAGGATGTATTGGAGTAAACCCACAAAAAGTATCAGCGAAAGAAAATCTACAAGACGGACAAAAATAAAACCAAAACCAAAACCAAAAAATAAGGTTAAAAATCCCAATAAAGAAAAACAAAATATTGCAAATTCACCTGATGATGTTTCTAATGTTTCTAATGGTGCAATAAATTCAACTCGATTCTCTTATGATGTGTCAACATGGACTCGTGAAGCATCAGGATCTCAAGTTAATGATCGTGCCGATACCACTAATAATGAAGATTGCTGGGAAAATCTTGCAACAATCGCAAATGTTTTTCTCGATTATGCTACTAGTCAACTCTTGATGCTGGTGATTTGGTACGTATGCCAACGAAGTTTAGTAAACTTCCATAACTATTATGTAATAACCCGTTCTATTTCATATTTAGGAACGATGGTAATAAAAGCTATCATACAGCTCAAGAAGTACATCGAAAATGCCCTCGTCAGGTAATTTTATTAAAAATCTTTTAGTTTTTAGTTATTATATGAGTCTATTAACAAAATTTGTAGTTGATTAAATTCTACGAAGGTCATTTACATTTTGAAAAGATGCGAATTGATAATTAGGAATTTAATGATTTTAGTGTAATTCATATATTTTCGCGTACACTCGTTAACGAAACATTCTAACAAAAGTATTGAGAAAGTATATTTGCAAGTTATCACATGATACGATATGAATTAAGTACTTCACGTCAGGGACGTGAGGATCTTGCGATTTATGGTGTTTCTTCGGAACATGTTTATAAAGCTATTGCAGTGAATCACAAGATCCCCACGTGCTTCACGTGAATGAAAGTTTGTGCTGTCTATACAATATCGATATTAAAGAAAATAAATGAAGTAATTCACACTCCAAATCCCTAAATTTATCTAAAGCGTCCGTCATATATTGGAGGGACAGTGCTGTTTTTAGTTAAGGTGTGGTAAGTTTAATGCTCTGATTGAAACTGATCCTTCCAGCTAGATTTACCAAAACTAACGCTAAGATAGCTTATCAGCGCTTTATAATGTTCATCATTGATACGTATCATTGATCATCTATCAACTCCCTCTAAGTGCCACATCCTATGTAAATGCACGCCTTCTCTTGGTCCCAACTAATATTATACCTATAAATTTTTAGCTCTCTAAATGCAATATCTCTCTAAGTGCACGTTTGGCAAAATTGTTATATATGGTCCCGTCACATTGCACTTAGAGAGAGTTGACTGTAAATAATGATCTTTTTTATATTTCAAAAAGAAATCTAGACCAGTTGGTACTTCGTAATGCCATTTTTGTACACAATTTATAAATATATATTTTTCTTCTAATTTGCATTAACTGTGAATAGTTATTTTAGTATATTAAATTCGTTATAACCGTTTTAAATCGTCTATCAAATATTTGAAATTTTATCGTTTATCTATAGTTCAAATTTTTTTTCTTTAGAATTAAATATTAAAGATTATATTCTTCTATACTAAATTTGGGAACGCCCACAGCAAAAGCAGGGGATGGGACTATATAATATATAGTCCCATCCCCTGCTTTTGCTGTGGGCGTC